GTGCGACCCCCCCACGGCGTAAATCATCCCGTCGATCACCCCCACCCCGATGCGGTTTCGGGGGACGCTCATGGGCGCGCAGGGGGACCACTGGTTGGTCATGGGGTTGTAACAATCGATGGCGGCCGAGTCCGTGTTTCCGTCGGGGGAATTATTCCGTCCCCCCACGGCGTAAAAAAGTCCCCCCACCACGCAACCCCCTAAACCGCTCCGGGGAACCTGGAGATCGGCCAAACGGATCCAGGATCCATCCCGAGGGTTGTAGGCTTCCAGGTAACTCAAGGATTGGCGATAATAACCCCCGGCCGTGTAAATCAGCTGCCCCACCTTGGGGGTCCGACACGGTAAAACCTGGGTGGGTTTATGCAGCGTTAAATCCTGAAAAATTTGCGCCAGGTAATCCTTGGAACGGGAATCGGAACGGAGGATTTCGCATTTTTGCAGCTGCATCTGGAGGAAATGCGGGGTGAGGGAATGGCAGCGGACGGCGCGCAGCAGAGCCTGGACGTAAAGCCGGCGGTTGGGACAATCGTGTTTCACCCAGTTGATGCAAGCGTGGAAAACTTCGGATTCGCAGCGGACGTTCAGCTCGTCCCGGCTGATCAGCGTCACCAGTTGGCAATGGGAAAGGTTGAAAAATTCCTCCTGCTTGGAAACCTGAGGGGAGACGAGGGCGTGAGCGCGGCACCGCGGCCCTCCTCACGCCCCCTTTTCCCTCTTCGGCCGCTGTACGGCCTCGGGAATTCCTGCCGGAATTTTTCAGTTCCTCGCCCCGTAATTATCCCAGGAAAAACTCCTCCGGGGTTGAGGCGGAGAGCGACCTCGTGTAATTATCCCAGAAAAACCCCTCCGGGGTTGAAGCAGAGAGCGACTTCGCGTAATTATCCCAGAAAAACCCCTCCGGCTTTTTTTTTTTTCTTTCCAAGCAGCCTTGGCATTAATCAGAAACTCCGTTCTTACGGATAACGAGGGGAGCGATCCGCTACCCCCGTGACGCGGAGCTGTATCCTCGTTACTGGAATTCCCTGCTGCCCCCCAGCCCCCTCAGGGGGGTCCCTGCTGCCCCCCCAGGCCCCAGGATTTCTCCCCCAGGACCCAAAGACCCCGGAGGGGTCCTTGTTGCCCCCCAGCCCCCTCAGGGGGGTCCTTGCTGCCCCCC